ATAGTCCTGGATCTTGGAAAGTGTCAGCCCATTCCACTTGATTGGTCTTCACACAAACAGCTATTGTTAAAGTGTTTCGAGCAGACTAGATACCATCTTCAGAGTTGATGGTCCCCTAGCCACTGTCGAGATTTGTGTAATGGTGTGTTCCAGGCAACAGCTCAGAGCCCTGAGTCATGGAGCTGCTGGGGATGAACTTCCACAAAAACCACTGCATCTCTCTCCAAAGGCAAATTCCAGATGTCCAACTCTCTCTTCATTGCTGCAGCCATCTCAAAGACAATTTGCAGTGATGAGAATCTGGGCAAGAATGGATGATCGGCAGGAAATGTTCTTCTCACCATCAGCCAATCTATTTTTTGAGATGTTGCATGTTAGGAAAAGCATCATATAAATACATTATTTTAAGTGCAATTTTCCCCCTTCAAGTGCTTATCCAACTTGTTTCTACCACCTTTCAGTAACTGTGTTCCAAATCATAGGAATATTGCAATGTTTTTCCTTATATCATTTCTAGCAAAACTGGAATCAATGTGAATCAGGGATAAACTGTCTGCTGGTTGGAGGCATACCTGGCACATATGAAGATGATTGTGGTTGTTGGAGGTCAGTCATCTCGGCTCCAGGACATTGCTGCAGGGGTCCCTCAGCAGTGTCCTTGGCCCAAACATCTTCAGCTGCTTCACCAATGACCTTCCCTCCATCATAAGGTCGGAAGTGGGGATGTTCAGCACCATTTGCAACTCCTGAAGCAGTCGATGTTCAAATGTAACAAGATCCGGACAACATCCAGGCTTGGACTGACAAGTAAAAGTAACATTCACACCACACAAATGCCAGGCAATGACCATCTTCAACAAAAGACCATCGAACCACTGCCCTTTGACATTCAATGCTGTTACCATCACTGAATCCCCCACTATCCACATCCTGGGATGGGGGGGAAACGGGAGTTTACGAATGACTGGAAACTCAACTGCACTCGCCACATAAGCACAGTGGCTACAAGAGTAGGTTGGAGGCTAGGAATACTGTGGCGAGTCACTCCTAACTCCCCAAAGCCTGTTCACCATCTACAAGGCATTGGTCAGGAGTGTGATGGAATATTCTCCAATTGACTGAATGGGTGCAGCTCCAACAACACTCAAGAAGCTTGACACCATCCAGTACAAAGCAGCTGCTTGATTGTACCACATCCACAAGCATCCAGTCCCTTACCACCGATGCTCAGTAGCAGCATTGCATACTATCTACAAGATAAGTGGGAATACTTATCCTACAAGTTCCACCACCTACAAGTTCCCCTCCAAGCAACTCACCGTTTTGACTTGAAAATATATCATCATTCCTTCTCTGTCACTAGGTCAAATTCCTGGAATTCCCTCCCCATGGGCATTGTAGGTCAACCTACAGCATGTGGACTGTAGTGGTGCAAGAAGGCAGCTCACCACCTTCTAAAGGCAACTAGAAACAGGCAACAAATGCTGGCCAGCCAGTGATACCCACATTCCTTGAATAAATCTTTTACAGACTGCTTTTTTTTTGCCAAAGGACATATGGGAAAAGAATGTTGTTTGACTGGGTGCAGTGGTTTCCGATGACTAAGACTTCATGGATATATCCAAATAATGTTGGCAGCCTTCATATACAGCTCAACCCCCCATAATAAAACTGTAAGGAGACACTGGGCTGGTGACATCAAACAAAACATTTTCCCTTACTAAGATGGGCACAACTAATAAAAAACATGAAGAAGCTTATATAATCAAATATTATCACCCGTGTCCAGTACAAATTTCAGTCCCTTTATGACAATACATTTACTGCTCCTTTATTATTTAGTGTTTCGTTTTACACTAGACAACAAAGACAGGGCTATAGAAAACAGGGAAAATGCTTTCACTTCTGTTTAAATTCACTTACATCCTGTTTCAGAAAGAGAAATGTTTTTCATTTTCTATAATACTGTGTCTCTCCAGTCTGGCCTCTATGGATCAGAACACCACTTATCTAGAAGTTTTTTTTTGAGTGGACCTAAATGATTCATCATTTTAGTAGAGTATTTTGAGAGCAGAATACCTGGAAAAATATAGCACTTAGATAATCAAAACTGGTTTTGTTGCTGCTTTATAATGCATTATCAATGATGTTTTCCAGTTCACTCACATATGAATAGACATTCTAATGATCTTCCATAAACCAGAAAAGTTTGAAATCCAGAAATAACTTGGTCCCAAGCATTCCAGATTGGAGAAGTGGCAAAGTACATCCTGGTGTTCTAAAATGCTTTGCAGTCAATCAATTACCGTTGATGCATGATCTTAAAGTACTACGCGATGGCCTAGTGGTATTATCGCAAAGACACGGATTCAAATCATGCCATGTCCCATGGTGGAATTTGAATTCAATAAAAACCTGGAATTAAGAGTCTAACAATGATTTGATGGTCAGAAAAACACCTCTGATTCACTAACATCGTTTTGGGAAGGAAACTGTCATCTTCGGGGATGGGCAATAAATGCTGGTTTAGCCAGCAATGCGCTCAACACGTGAATGAATTAAAAGCAACAAATTTGAAAGCAAAAGTTAATCAGACACGAAAAGGACAGCCCGAAGATTAACAAGCAGTTAATCTATTTTGGTTAAAGGTCCAATGGGCTGAATGGCCTCTGCACCATAACACCTCTGTGATTCTCTTAAGGATAAATGCTGACCAGGAAAACGCTCATATCCTTCAAAGTATGTGAAGGTTAATTCACATTGCACACAGGACTTCAGTTTAAATTAACATTTTATATAAAATAAAGAAAATTCTCTCTCAAAACAAAGCTCTGTGCTTAAATGTCAACATAGATAAAGCCCTTGAGCTCCAAGAATGAAATTTAAACCCAGAACCGAGTGACTTAAAATGCCACCACTTAATCAAATTAACGCCTCTTGAGCAGCCCTTCAATCCTGTAATAGATACCAAAATATCTGAAGTCTGCTGGAGCACTGTTTGCTAGCCGAGCCTGTCCCTTTCAAGATCACAGCTCAAATATTTCCAATGGGCCAGTGGCCTAAATAGGCAAATATGTTACTTCCTGACATCAAATGTAAGGTATCTAAACTTTTGTAATTTTTTTTAAACTGCAGGTTAGAAGAGACAATTATCAAATGATCAGCTTTGTTATTAAAAACATGTTTTTAATTTGTAACCATTGTGCAATGACTGGAACGTAATGGGATCCAGATTCTGCAGACATTTGTAATTAGATATAATCATTTTGTTAAACGAGTTTACAATCTAAGTTTATTTTTGCAGCAAGAATAAATATATTAAAATGTCATTTAAAATACTGCCATTCCTAGCAAATGAGTTTTGCTGAGTTTACTTGTCTCTTGTTTTGTCAGATACCCTGTTTCAAATTAAATCCCCTCTCCCACCTTGCACTCCTCCAATTCCCCAACCAACTTTCTCTACTTCCTGGAAAATTTTCTCTGACAAGAGTTGAGTTCCAAAATGTCAGCTGCCACCATTGTACCTTTGCCAAGAGGCCAACCCCCAAGAATTAGCTCTCAGTAATTTCAGAAGGCTGTTTAACAGCACAGTAGAATATTATAGCATTGAAGGAGGCCATTAAGCTCATTCTGCCTTTGCCAGCTTTTGAAAAAAATCAAAAATTTGGTTTATTTCCCACTCTTTCGCCATAGCCCAACAAGTGCTTTCCTTTCCAAGGAAACATCCAATGAAAGGAAAGGTGATATTAAATCTGATTCTTTTTCCCCTCTACGGGTTGCTACTGTGAGGATGGTGGAGGTTGAGTCATTGAATGTACTCAGGGCTAAGTCAGTTTTTTGATCAAAGAAAAAAGAAACAAGAAACAAGGCTTATGGAGTTAGACAGGAAAGTGGAGTAAAGAATAAAATTAGATCAGCTATAATGTTACTGACAGGCTCAGAAACAGTCCATTCCTGTATCTATTGAGGTAGTGAATTCCAGATCTTGAAAACATGAGGCATAAAATAAAATCCTAACTTATACCTGCATTATTTACTACAAGGGCATCACAGTCAAGCTTAAGCCCTTGTCAAATATCCCCACAACTGGATTTTCCAAAAGGATAGCAACAACACAAGAAGCATGAACAATATACTGAGGTCCAGGATAAGGATATGTCAACTGCTGCCACCCAAATGAGAACAGTAATCACAATGCTCTTTCTTTTCCAAATGATTTAGCAAGCCTGTATTCCATATTTGCCAACTAAGAGCGAGAGCAAATCTTTAAGTAATGGTGCCCATTAACCCACTCAACGGTATAGCTACTGTCTGTGCTAACTACAGCCTCTACAGTAGCATTGTAAAGACTTTGTAACATTTAAAAGGTGTTTCAAAACAAACTTGACATAGGTGTAACAGAAAAGTAAGTGTGCGCATTGGAAATCGTCTGAAAAATATTATCCACTTTGATGTACGTCACTTGTAAAAATAAACACTTCCATATGTTCAGTCTTACACATTCTTAATAACTCCCCTTTGTTGACAGATGTTTGTTTTGAGAGAAGAAATTGGGAAATAATACAACAATTGGCAATAAACTGTTAAAAAGATAAAAATATAAAAGAAAGTGTGTTTTAAATGGGTCAACAGTCATGCCTAAGACTCAGTATGCAGAATGCACTGACCTTGTCAGTCATTCTGTTTGGGAACAGACACTGAAACAGCAACATGTTGCATATCATGTTAAAGCTAATTAGCTGCACTCATCGGTCTCCGACTTTTCAGAACTGAACTAGGTGAGTCTCAAGAATCTGGCATAAGATTAAAGATATGTTTACAGCTGGTAACTCCACAGGCTGTCTTGTCAGCTGCACAAGGCAAACAGTGAGAAACAGAGAGACAGAGTTTGAGAGACACACACACAGAGTCTTAAGTTGCCACCACCTGATGGTAGCATGAGGTGGTTCCACTCCTGGTTTTTATTGCTAATTGTCAACATCATAAATAACAAAAACAGATTGTCATTGCTTTTATTTATTAATTCCTCAGCACAGGCACAATAAACATGATTGGCCTCCTGCATTGTAGGGCTGGATACCAGATGGTGCACTAACAACTTGGTTACTTGTGCTGACTTCTTGAGGAACGGAGCAATACTGTTTTCAATCACTGGGGAGTAAAATTCACTATGATTGGAAGGGGGGTGCATCATTAAAGTAGGGAGCTTTGCTACAACTGGACAAGGCACTGGTGAGGCCGCATCTAGAGACCTGCATGCAGTATTTGTCTCCTTATTAAGGAGGGATATTATTTGCATTGGAAAGCAGTCCAGATAAAGTTCAGCAGATGAATAAGGGGTAATATTACTGAAACAAAAGATAATAAGGGAACTTGAGAGGTAGAGGCTAAGATGGTGATTTCGCTTGTGAGGGACATCCTTAGAGCTGGAGACCCTATCACATTTTTAAAATAAGGAGTGAGCCATTTAAGACTGAGATGACATTTTTTTTCCTCTGAAGGTCTCTTGGAGCACAGTGGAGGCTGGATCATTGAACATATTCAAGATTAAGTTAGCTTTTTGATCAAAGAAATCAAGGGATATAGAGTCAGGAAAGTGGAGTAAAGACTAAAATTAGCTCATCTGTAATCTTATTGAATGGTGGAGCAAGTTCAGAAATAGCCAGTTCCTGCATCTATTTCTTATAAAAGGCAGGGTGAAACAAATAGTAACTCACTTAATCTTGAACATTATACAAGATCACATAACTTCCACATCAGGGAGAAAATCTGCTGACCTTACCTGGTCTGACCTACTTTTGATCCTAGACCCAGGAAAATATTGTTGACATTTAACTGTCCGAGGTTTCATGAATGGCATAAATGTTGGCCTAACCAGTGATGCCTGCATCCCATGAAAGAATAACACAAAAACAGATTCTATGACAGCACATATAATTGTCACAAGTGCAGTACGATCCCGAACAAGCAAAATGAATGAGCCACTTTTATTGCCCCCTGTTTTAAAAGGCTATTTGGGTATTTATTCCCATATTGTACCAATTGAGCAGAAATAAATGTGCAAAGAAACAGTCCTGAGGATAGACAAAAATCTCATTGCAGTAGGGAATTAAGATGTCCAGGCTCTCAGGATCCCTCCTTTACTCTTGTTTTGAGTTTGCTAATTTGAGCAGGTGCAGCACTATATGTTTCCTTAGCATTCCTTGACCAGGAGATAGGAAAGAGAAATTACCCCAGTTTTCATTACGATCCAATGAACACAGTCAAAAGCATAACGTCTGGCTGTCTGATGATGGAAGGCTTATTTCAGCAACTTCCCCAAGCCTTGCAATCACAGTCAACTCTGCATATCTCCAATTCCAGTTTTGTGCGTCTTCTACCTCCTACAACTTCCAATCATTGCTTCAGCTGTCTGGCAGCAAATTTATGGAACTCTCTCAAATCTTTCTGCTTTGCTCTCTTCCTTTAAGATGGTTCTTAAGAGTTACCTTGTTGATCAAGATTTGGGTCATCTGTCTTATGTGTTGACTAGGTGCCGTCATTATCTTATTATGGTCTTGTGAAACATTTTGGGACATTTCACCTACAAAATGGATAACTGATTCAGATCAAGTTTGATGCTTCTCATGGCCAAGTAACCATACCAACATTCTATCTAGGCCTTCACTGGAAGCATGTTAACAAGTTGCTGAAGAACTGGAAACATCCCTTCCTTATCTGAAATGTTGAGGTGGGGAGAAAAAAAAAATACAAAAACAATCACAGACTAGTTTAAAAGTCAGATGTGCATCCTTCATCAGAACTGGTCTCCACATTTTGTAAACAACCTGAACATTTCCCGCATTTTATTACTGTATCACATTTCTAGCATATTTGTATTTCTTTTTGTTTTTCAGCAGACAGGTTTGTTTGTCTTTTGTTTGTCTATTTGCTCAGTTAAATAAATCTCACTATTTCTGCTTACCAAGCCACCGTATGACACAATATTACTTCATAAATCCAACAATTCCATTGTAGCAATCCTCAGCACAAAATGAACAAGAATACTCTGCATTCAGCACACTGTAAATCTTGCACTTTTGAAAGGGATTCTGAGCATGAACACCTCCCAAAATTGACATCGTTCGTAAGTCACTTATGGTTTGCCTTTGTGGTTTATGACATTATCTCAATCTCTGGCAGTTGTGGAGTGGTGTGTCCCATTAATGAATTGTCTTTTCCACAAATAGATAAAACCATTAACTATACACAGAAATACAATATGCTACATAACACAGTCTGTATAGCTTAAAACAAGAGACGTAATGAGTTTCAGAATTAAGGCATCTAAAAACTTATTGCAATAAAATTGGATTTCTTCACCTCCCCAATGTATTGGGTGTTTTACCTTACTTTTGGGAGTAAGTTGTGCTCCATAAATTGTTTTGATGGCCATCAAAAATCTCATTGCAGTAGGGAATGGAGCCATCCAGGTTATCAGTGTCCCTCCCTTTCTCTTGATTTGAGTTTGCTAATCTGAGCAGGTGGAACACCATATGTTTCTTTAGCACTCCTCGACCAGGAGATAGGGAAACAGTAATTATCCCCAGTTTTGATTACTATCCAGTGAACCCAGTTGGAAGGTAGCTCAGAAAGCAAAAAGCAAACTCAAATTATTTTAATCATTTTTTTTTTTTTTTTAAGAACAATAGCATTGGACAGCTTCAATGATAGATACAATTGTAGAGAATTTTAAACATCTAATAGCCAAAATTTAGAAACACCCAACAGCACCAGCAGTTGACCAGTACGTCACAAGAGGCGCCATTCATATGTAAATCTGCCTCAGCAGGCTGTATGGTCACAAGGACTGATGTAGCCAGATCTTGCCCTCTCTAGAAGCCCACACAATTGCTCCAGTGGGAGTCAACTGGTCAGAAATGGGGCATTTTTTTTGTTTTAAATTCCCTCCTCAGCCTGGGAGCAATGTACTTGTGATGTTGACCAACTTATATTTTAACACAAACTAAGATCTATTAACTAATCTCACTAAATTCATTTGCCCATTAAGAACCAGCAGAAAAAAAGGGTTTACAAAGCCTAAGACAATCTTTCAGTCATAATCTAAAGCAAAGCAGTTTCTTTCCATTGAGCTTGTGACCCGTACAGTCGTACAGGAAGATATTAAGACTTAATTTATCAAAACAGAAAATACAGGCAATATTCTGGTTAAGCAGCATCTGTAAGTGAGAAAAACCGTAAACATTCATCAGCAGCTTCCTCTTTCCACAGATACTTCATGTACTAGTCAAATTTTTTTGAATTTTTTATTTTTATTTTGGATTTCCAACATTGGTTTTGTTTAAAGATTATTTGGCTGTGAGGAGCTAGCGAGCATTTTTCCTCTGTTGCTCTGTTTCTAAACCCCACATGGCCCACAGCCAGGCCGGCAGTCTGAATTAGCCAATCACTCACATGCCTTTCAAATCGAAGATTGGATGTGCAATCAAAAACAAGGCTGTAACAAAAACAGAAGTTGCTGGAAAATCTCAGCAGATCTGGCAGCACCTGTGGAGAGAAAGGACAGTTAACGTTTTGGGTCCAGTGATCCTTCTTCATAAGGCTGTACCACTCTCTTCAAATCTTTCCTGACAGCTTCCACGCACCACTTGCTTAAGGTAGCCCGACTTGAAATTGCAAAAGCACTGATTGCACAGCCAAGTCAGCGGATGTCATCACTTCAGGTTGTGCCTATATTTAATTGAACAATTCTGCTCCAAAAAAAATTCCAAATATAACAAGGGAATCAGTGTGAGCAGAGTTGGGATGGTAGAGGGAGAAGAGGTTAAAAATAAAGCACGGGAAGACTTCACTGACCACGTCAGAAAAGTGACACCCAGATGTTGAGTGGCCACATCTGTCGATAGAGAGGGAAAGCAACAAACCATTTTTCTTCACTCCACCTTCTGCTTCTTTGAAACAAAGTACTGGAGAGATTTTTGCAGCACCTTGAATGCTTCCAAGAATATTCCATATTGAAAATCTGCTATTTACTTCAGCAAGAATGTGGCTTAGACTGCAAAAAGAAACAAAAAGTACAAAGTCCGTATGTGACTCAATGTAGATTTCCTACACTGAAGTAGTCTATCTAATTCCAGACACAGGGGCCTGTTGCTGTTTCCGAATCTTATTGAACAGCTCCATGTATTGAATAGCTGTGTCTGTTGGTGAATAAATTCCGTCATGTTTTGTTGAGAATACAGAAGGAATCCCGGGTGTATGGCTTCCCATGAAACTTTGCATGAATTCCATCATGAGATTCCAACAGTCATTGGATACAATGCAAGGACAGTACTCCACCTAGAATTATGAAGAACACAGTATTTACTCTTTTATGTATATCTTATTTAACTGCAAGTTATCTCTTAGGTATGGTCAGGTCACTGCCAGGATAGGCCAAGTGAAGACCAAAAACACACCATGTCGCACAGAAAGTGAAAGAAAATATATACACAGTCGGTTCTGCTATAACACGTGTTTCTTCAACGCAAATTGACCTTACCACGATTGAAGAATTTAGACCGTTATTTGTAAGAACGCGAACTTTCCTTACCTGTATAGGTTGTAACCTGATTCCGGTCCCATTAGTTTAAATGACGCAGCTATTGTGCGATTTTCTTATAACACGAGAACAGAAACTATCACGTTACATCAGAACCCCCTGTGTAGGAACAGGAGTAGGCCATTCAACCCTTCAAGCCTGTATTCCCACTCATTGAG